GGTCTTTATAATGCAAAACTTTTTTTTGTCAGCAGGAAAGGAAGGTGCCACTTTTAGTCCTCAATTATGGTAACTTTGTCTAAATGAAAGTAGCTCCCAGGGTATAGAAATCAAAACAGAATGGACAATCAATTAAAGAAAGGATGGGGGTGGGGGAAGAACCAGGCAGAACAGGAGGAACGCATTTGCAGGGAACTGGGAGTTTTCCCTTAAAGAAAAGTGCATTGAAATGAAAGAAGTTTAACAAAAATCAGAGTTTGTTGCTTGTGAAGCATATGAGCGTAATGGACTACTAATAAAAATCATTGATTTATCGACACTCAAACAGCGCCTGGGAATTGCAGAAGGCTCCCTTAATCTCATCTGTGTTCTCTTCAAACGCTAATATGGATTCTCCCCACAGGGGCCACTAGGCATATTCCACGTGACTCTTGATAAAGTGGAAAATTGGACCCTTTTGTTCCTCCAGCCGAGTTCAGTGCCATTTCCAGCTGCACACTGCACCCCTGACGACAGAGTACTGCCAAGCATCCTGAGAATTTGAAGGCTGATACAACAGTCTGCAGCGTTCTCCAAAAACAGCTACTTCTCTGGGTGATGCTAGGAGCTAGGTGGGGATGTGCCCCTTCTACCCGGCAGGGACACTGGCGTTCGGCCACACTGCTGAGTTATTCTCTCTCTGCCTCCTACCTCCCGTTAGGACTTTGCAGGGGGTCAGGCCAAGGGAAATGAGCCTTTGGGTTTCCCCCCCTCCCCCGTGGGGACCTTGGGGCTCCTGTGAGCAGGGTGGGCGTGAACAGGGGAGGCTGGTTCATGGGACTGTGATAGTGTCACTGTTGCTTTCCATAGGCTACAGCTCCGCTTTGCACACACCCTTCCTATTCCTCACAGCTAAAGTCTTTGTAGTTCAACATGAGTTTCCTGTTTGTTTGTGGAGAGAGTCCCAAATTCTATTCCTGTTTCAGCACTGTGCCCCTCAACTCATCTGGTTCCAGAGTTTCTACTGACCCTCCTGAGACTCTTTCATTGCCTCAGCCTTTTTTACTTTTTCCCTGACTTTCCTTTAGCCAGTGTGGAACCCACCACTGACAGGCATTGTTTAACTCCACCATTGTCACTTTTTTCTAAAGCATGTAACTAATTCTGCTAATATCCCACACAGTTTTCTTATGCATGGAGAACAACTGGGGTTTTTGTTTGTTTTTGTTTTTGTTTTTGTTTTTGTTTTTTGCAGATAGCATCTTTCGCATTTTCCCTGGCTAGAGATCCCCCGGTCACAGTGGGGAGGTCCTGGAGCCTCCCAGGTCCCCCCACATTTCTGGCACTGATGTGGCCCCGTTCTCACTAAGGGTGTCAATATCTCATCAGCATGGGGAGATAAACCCTGGGATGGTTCTGGATGAAGACCTGTGAAAATCATGGCAGAGATGGCTACTCCCCATGGGGCTTTTAGCTTTTGACCTGCAATTATATTAATTAAAAATAACTTTAAGGCATTGTTCATCATCAAAGGCTGATCAGACTTGATTTTTGTTTCACGCCTGGATTCTCTGTTGGTTTTGTTACTTTTTTTACTCAGATGCAGACAGCGTGAGCTGGGCTCTGCAAACTTCAGGAGCCTCTGGAAAATACTGTGTATTTGTGTTTGAGCTGTGTGATCTCTTCAGCAGCCAAGTAAGATATCCCAGAGTCAGTGTTCCAGTTACTTGGGGAGGGAGCAACAATTGTCAGGCCTGTGCACGGCATTTGGGTTAAAGTGGAGAGTTAGTTAAGTAAGCCTAAAATTTTGGACTGTCAATAGTGAGAGCATTTAGTGGAGGACCAGAGCTGGAGATGCTCTGTGACTTGTGCCAGAGGCAAGTCACAGTGCAGGGAGTGGAGGGGGTGTGACTGCTGAAAACCTCCCTGTATTTCTCTCCTCTGTTTGGAGATCTGCAACTATTTTCTCTGGCGGTAGCAGCTGAGATACTGCCAACAATAAAGAGAGCTACTCTGCCCCAATAAAGTGCATTAAACCTGACCAAGACAGGTTTACTACTGCATTTCTCTTGGCTTTATAAATGTGTATTAGAGAAACCATTCTACACATTAATGGGATTATTTCACAAGATGCAGAGAAGTAACAGAGCTCTTGTATCTGTGGAGTTGTGGTAAATAGTCTTAGGACTAATTATTAATTACCAATAATAAGCAGGAGCACCTTCCCAAGGGAAGCTGTTGCATATACTTAGTGGAATGTGTTACTGACAAATATTGATGTTTTCTTAAAAATGTGGTTTTTAAGGCCATCAGTCTATGATTCCCTCAGTTGCATGGTTGTATTAGATATGTATTTTTAAACAAAAAATCTGTGAGGGTTATGCTACCTTGCAAAATAACGTAACTAAAAAAGAGACTCTCTGAAAGATAAAGGTATGTATACGGGAAATGGCAGTTCCTCCAGGAGGAAAGGTTGCTGGCTTTGACCAAGGAAAGGATGGGAATAAAACCTCAAAATCCTCTGTGCAGCATCATGAAGGGTCAGGCAGTGAGGGGACAGTGGTGAGGGAGGGGGACATGGTTGGCAGCCAGGATGTGGGAGAAATCCCACATTTTGCCTATGGTTAAGCCTTCACCCTTTCACCACTACAGTTAAAACTCCTTAATCACAGTTTTCTCAGTAAAAGGGCCCTCAAAAGTAGGTTAGAGATGAGCTAGTAACCAGCAGCCCTGCTAGGGTCAAGAGAGAGGGGGTTCTGAGCAACAGGGCACCAGCTGCTCCCCGAGATGTGTTCTCTTGCCCCTGAGGATGGTGGCAAGTGATCTTTGCCAGCAGCAAGCACAGCAGCCTGGCCATGCAGAGGGACTTCAATCAGAAATCTTGCCCGAGTGCCTGACAGCATCATGTTAACCTGCTGACTTATGGAAAAAGAAGGAGAATGCTGTTTTTTCAAACCCCCCCTCTTTAGTAGTGCAAGAGTCAGTGGAAGTTGAAATAACAGGATTGATTATTTTCTGTCTTTATAGCAGCCCGGTCTGGGTCATGGCCACTTTTGGAAGCAGCTTTGGAATCATTTTCCTTCTTGTTCTAGGACAGCTCATTTAGGGAGTTGCTCTGGGCTTTACTCTCTGCCAGATGGTTTGCATACTGTGTTAGGAACAGCGTATTTCACAAAATAATTGCTCTTGTAGCTCTTTGCATGTTCTCAGCTGACAATGCTGACCTAATGCTGGTGCATGGCTGTGTAGCAGCACAGATGTTAGGGGCGTACAAGAGCATGCAGCTCTTGCCTGGCCATCTTGTATGGGGGATGCAATATGCTGGAGGTTTGTACCACCAAAGCCTTCTTGCTTGTGTGGAAAGACCAAGTTTTAGCTACAAGAGAGCTCCTGAGAAAGGACAAAGTTTGGAAAGACAGAGTGAGGTTTTTTTGGGGGGGATTTCTGTCTTTTTTGCCCTTTACTGGAGGCCTTGTCTCCATCACCCCCAATGGATGGGCTGACAGGGAGCCTCCCACCCCTACTACCACTTGGGGAGAAGGCATTTTCCTCCCAAGGCACTTAGGAGTGGCTTGTAACAGCAACAAGATGCTGTACCAGCAGAGGTAAGGTGGCCAGTAAAGCCCATCCTCATCTCCTCTGGACCGGGCAGAGTCTGAGCTTTGAGCCAGTTCACCTACAGGTACACCGAGTTTAAAATTATGCTGCTTGAGGTTTTTTTTAATCTCTTGAGATGGGTCCTGACTCTGGATACAGCACTTCCTGCTCCCATCACCAGGCAGGTGCCTGGGAGGTTTCTGTGGCAGGTCATCCCTAGCTCATGTCTGCTTACACAGGCACAAGGCTGCTCAAACACCTGACTGTGGAAGGAAAGAGGCTTGTATTTTAAGGAAATCCAGAAGGTTGTAAAAGGAAGAAAAATAGTAATGCAACTGCAGGCCTTCTGGCCATTTCACAGCACTTAGGATCGTTAAGAAGGGTGCAAAGTAGAACAATTGTTTGTGGAAAAAATGAGACTGTTCAAAGTCATTCTGCTTTCCTTTCCTTTCCTGATCTTCTCTTATTTTCCCTCCCACCGTTCTTTCCGGGCTGCTCCTGAAATAGCCACCACACCTACTTGTTATTAAACAGAGGAGGGACAAAGACTCTCCAGAGCACCCTTGTGTCAGTGCCAGGACACACTGACAGGAGAGCCTGTTCCTGCTCTGTGCACACCAACGCACTGATGTCTGGGACTATTCTGGGAGCAGCTGAATAACCTGTTAGGCAGGAGCTGCCTTCACTGAGCATGCAGTGCCAGCTGCTCTCCCAGCTGGGATGGGGGAGGCAGCTCCTTTTGGGTTGAGCGAATTGTATTAGGGTGATTCAGTTGATTTTGGCAGAAATATTGGCTACAGCTGCTTCAGGTCCAGCTGCAAAAGGCTCATCCAGCAACAATCCCCACCCTTTAAAAGCCCCAGAGCCCTCAACTAGGCAGGTACTGCAGTTGGCTCTTTGGGGTTTATTAGTCTATGGGGAAGAAGTTGCCAGAAGTCTGTGGGAAAGTGAGAAATAAGTTCCTCTCTTTGCTTTGGTCCCTTACATTGGTTTACAGGGGGCCTGAACATGCCCTGCTGCTGGTCTGCCATCCTCTCTGGCCAAGGTCTGTGTAGGGGACACGTTACAGTGGAGTGTCCACGTTCACCATGACAGCAGCTCCATGATGCATGAAATGCAATGCTGAAATAAGAAAGTGCCCTAGCACAAAGGTATGCTGTCTGGCAAAGGTGAGATCTTCCCACATCCTGCCCATCTCCCCTTCACATTCCAGCTGCCTCATCAAGGTCTTTACTGTGTTTGTTTTTGCTGAGAAACAGCAAAACACAAAAGTAAAGCTGTAAAGCAAAGTATTTCCTTTTCTAGTTCACACTATTTACTTTTTATCTTGTGACAAATGCAGTTTTCTGTTGGCTTTCAGGACAGAGTTGGAAACATCAGGGTGATTAATGCTTGCAAGGTGTTTTTATTTAAGCCCTTAGCATGGGGATTCCTCTTTAGGATTCAACCAGAGGAATTCTGTGGTGCTTGGATGGTGCACAGGTGAAAGCTGAGGTGGGTGTTCCTTTGCAAAATGCATCTCCTTGCTCTGCTTCTTGTGACGTGGGGGAAGAAGCCAGAAGCTTTGAGAATTAAATGCGTGAATAAAGTGAGTAAGGGATCAGTAAAGCTGGGAATTGCCGGGAAAACCTTCTGCTTCCCCGTAAAAAGTTGAGGGAGTTACAGCTCCGCTAGCATTTGCAGCACGATTTCCAAGTTGACTGCAGCAACAGAAACTCTGGAGGGAGCTTTAAGAGCAGTGTTTCAGTACAGATTGTTTTTTTTGTTGTTTTTTTTGCTTTCCCTCTTCCCTCCCCCCCCCCCCCCCCCCCCCCCTTTTATTTTTCTTCTCTTAGACAAAATTGAGCTTTGAAGAGATGGTGTGTTGGGCATTTGAAAGCAGATGTAATTTTGAGGGATACAAAAACAGGTAGTTTTATTTACCGCTGCTTCTGTAAGGTACAAATGTAGTTACTAAAGTCTTTATAAGCAGTACTCACCCGTGCCTTTGCTGGTCAAATTTCAGTGGTTTTCATCAGTGTGTGAGGCCAGCTTTGTTTTTCTCTGTTAGGTGTCCACTTTTTCTGGAAAAGAAAGAAAAAGGTACGTAAAACTACAAAATATTGATAGCAGGTGTAATTTTTTTTGGGGGGGGGGCAGGGGATAAATGATTTTCATGGCTTTTTGAGATGGTGATTACAGAGAGGGATGGGTAAGTTTAGGACACAAAACCCTGAAATATATGTGTGGTTAAAAACAAAGCTGACAAAAACCAGCACTTAGCTGTGAAATGTTTATGAACTTCTTGGAAGACTTTGTTTGTTGGCAAATGACTGCTGAGAAGTTATACAACCTCAAATGAGGGGTGAGAAACATTAAAATAAAAAAAAAAATCTTTGTCAGAGTCTGACCTGGAGTTTGAGTGGGTTTCCTTGCTTGCTTGTGGGAGTTAGCCCTGGCCCTGGAGGCTGCTCTCTCCTCCTATTTTAGGTTTAGTGTTTAGAGCCTGATCAGTAGCTTCTATTTTTCTGTTGTTTTTTGGGACAGTGCTGTTTCTTCCAAAGTGTCCTGTCTGCTCAGGAAGACTCCTCTTTCCTCATGAGCAAGCAAATAATTTAGGTTGTTCATCACCCTTGTGCATGTGTGGCGAGCTGGACTGGGTTTAAGGGGTCCCGAGTGGGGTCAGAAATGGCTCATGCTAAGAAATGAGTTGTTTTTCTGGTGAAGTTGTTTCTTCTTCACGGCAGAGTGGTGCCGCCAGCGGGCATTACCGACCTTTTGCTGTGTTCCGAGCCGAACGACCCGCTTACAACTCTCGAACTGCTGCGTTTAGCACGGACACAAATGCAGGTTTGGTTCTGGCTTTTTAAACCGGGGCGCACCGGTCGGGCCCTGAGCCCCGCCCTCGGCCTCGCCCCGGCGGCGCCGCGAAATGGCGGGCTGCGGCCTGCGGCCAGCCCCGCCGGGGCGGTGAGCGGGCCCGGCCCTCAGGCGGGGAGCAGGCCGCACTCGCCGAGGCTTTTCTCGGGGCGCGTCTCTCTGGCTGCGGGGCGGAATCTGAAGCTCGTCCAGGCCCGTGTCTTCGCCGCAGCCTTCGAAGCCGGCCCCTGTGGAGTTTGTTTTCTTCCCCCCAGCTGAGGGAAACTCTGGGCTAAGCTGAAGCATGACAGGGAATGGCCGCCAGCGGGGTCATGTAGGGGTTTTGGGGGCAAACTACCCTTGGGATCCTGAAAGATCCCACTCTGGGAGCAGCAGCAGGAGTAATTTGCTGCATTAAATAGTATATTGCATGCTGTGTGCACAGGTCATCTTGGCCCATGCAGCAGAAAACTAGTCCTCAACTGGAATTGGAGGAGAGGGGAATGTGCACCAGTAAATATGTAACCTTTGGGATATCCGATGCCTTTAGGATTGCAGAAGCTGAGGATGTGCCAAGTCGTACTGGAACCGCACACAAGAAATCATCCCGAGGTGACGATGCCAGGTGAGCACTGTTTGCTGCTGAAAGGCGGTTCTGGCTCTGCTGTTATTTGGGCAGAGAGCTGTTGTGTACCTGCGCTCCTGATGCTGCCTCCTGCTTCCCCTCTGGGTCCTCAGCATGGGTTCTCCTTGGGAAGCTGTGGCTGCTTCTTGTGTTTTCAGTCAGATCTAGATGAGCCAATGCTATTTGGCACATGTCCAGTGGTGGCATGTACCACATAATTTAAAAAAAAAAAAACCAAAAAAAAAAGTCAGTTTCCAGACATCAATCTGTTCTACATCTATGTCGTGTAGTAGCATAGAAGTTGTAGAAGAAATAGTAATGTCTCCTATGAGTCACTGTGGACAAGGTGATACACCTGTTCAAAATAAAAGTTTAGAAGAATCTTCTTGTCCAGAAGTTTTATGGTACAAGACTTGTTGAGGAACCAAGTCTGACCCAACTTCATTCCAAAGTAAACAGGTTTTCAAGCCTTAATCCAGTTGTTTTGCGGGATGGCAGAATTGACAGTGGGAGCAAGACAGCTAATTTGGTGTTTGTGAATTGTTTATCGTTACCCCGCTGGATAGCTATCAAGCAGGAAGGGCAACTGCAAGACTAGCAAGGGTGCTGGTAACATAATACTACTCTGTAAAGATAAACATTGTGTCAATTATGTAATTTTTTTGTATCTTCAAGGGTTTCTTTTTTTGCGCGCACACACGCGTGTGTGTGTGGGCGTAAGGGGATGTTACTTTGTTCACTGTTATGAAAGTGCAGCCATCAAAAAGGTAGAGCCAGGAGCTCATCACATCAGTGTCCTATTAGCAAAGCCAGCCTTCATCCAAGCCCAGATCTACTTTGAAGTCCTGGAATGAAATCCTGCCCCACTGCCATCAGTGGGAGTGGTGCTGTTGACTTGAAGTCAAGGGCTCAGTTCCTGGTGTTGATCTGTCAGGCTTTGCCTGCGCTTCATCACCTGCTTCCTGGCTGTCATCTGTTGCTGGAAACAGAGGAAGGTCAAGCACTGGTAAAATTAGGGCTCAGGACTGTGAGCAAACTGCTTCCTGCTGTCCTCATGACCTTTCATGCTGAAACAATGTCAAGTGAGAGAGCATCTTGCAGAAGCAAAGATTTACAAATATTAGTGGGTACTGCAACTCCTTTATAGTGCATGGCTATGAAATGGTGCATCAGGCCTGTACCAAGATGGGAAAAGCCCTGACCTTTTGTTCTTAAAAATCTTAAAATTATATTTTACGGTTTTCTAAAACCTAGTTTTGAGTTCTTTTTTCAATTAGAAATAAATAGGTGAACAAACAGTGGTGTAGCACTAGATGTCAGCAGTGCTTCACCAGTTTCTGTGTCAGACTTTACAGGCTTTATTTGCTGCCGGATTTTGACACATGGATGCGCTCTCCTTACTCCATATTTTCCAGAATAAACACGTATAAATATGCCATCCTTCAGAAAATACATTTTCTCTTTGCTGTCCTTGGTGAATAACCATTTTAGGTCACTGAATTCCAAAAGTGACATGTTTTCTGACACTTGAGTAGATAATGCACAGGCTTTTTTTGTTCTTAGTGGTCCATCTATAAAGGTTGCATCTGTGCTTGTACTTTGGCAAATACCTTTCTTGTTGCAGCTGCTCATTAAAATTCAGGTGTGAAAGTTTCAAAGTGGTTCAAACACTACCAAAGAACTTCCTATTTGTAAAAAGATAAAAGGTCTAAAATTTGTGGTTTAGCTGCATGCCTGTGTTAAACTAAGCCACTATCAGCCAGATGCTTTAATGAAGCGCCCTTTATCACACTTCAGGAAAGCAAATGTAGAAAGGAAGTAGTGTAATTGGCTGAAAGACTCAAATTTCTCTTCTTAAAATGCCATAAAGTAGAAGACACATTTTGATGGTGATCTTAGGCTGCTTCCTGGTTCAAAATACTTAATATAAAATACTACAGCTAGTGTTGTGATAGAGGCGAGATAGTACAACCATTCTTGCTTCTCCTTTCTAAGAAATATTTAATATGTAAACTTAAAATTTCTGAAACAAAATTTCTGCTACTAGGAGAGTTTCTGGAGTCTGTAGTTATTTCTCAAGGGCACGCTGTTGTCAAAATTCAACCTGTATCAAGTAGTTACGCTGTTTGGCTTCAGGATGGAGTTAAAAATGCTGTTATGTCTTAATGTTTACTCTTGTTTTCTTCCTCTGAAGTCACTGTAGCCTCTTAGGGCAGGTGCTGTCCTTGTGCAGTTAGATGCTGGGCAATGTTCAGGGTTCAGATCTCAACCATGCCTCTTGGTTGCAGCACTTGCACAGTGTGGGAAGGAGAGATGTAAGCTTTGGAAAAAAGGAAAGCTGTGTATAGAGGGAGTTTACAAAGCTCATCAAATACACCAGAGGAATCTCAATCACAGAATGAAACTTTGAAAATTGCTAATTCTCCCGAGATACCAAGAGCAGCAATCTTTCCAGTAATCCATGCTCCTCATGCGTGTGTTGGATTTAATGAGACAGAAGGACATTCCTCATTTTTCCTAATGCGAGATCTGGGAATGACATGAAGTAGCTGCCAGGTTTGGGGCAAATAAAATATGTCTTTTACACAAAGTTCCATGAAATTGGAGAATGCGTTCCACAGGGGGTTGCAAACAGTAAAAGTTTAAGTGTGCTGAAAAGGGGAATAAAAATTGATGGTAACTCAGCTGAGAACTGTTAAATAGAGCCAGATCAGGGATAAGGAGTCCAGGTATTGTTGATCCATGGAACAGGGGACAGTGGGCAAAGGCCTTGGCAGAGACTGTGTGTGGAGATAAGCAGATGTTTGTCAGATACATGTGGGGGTATGAAGCCTGGAAGGTGAGGCAACAGGTCCCTCTCTTCTTACCACTAGACCTGCTTTCTGTCTGTGTGTAATGTAACAATAAGAATTTTGTGAGAATAAGCATCTGGGAAAAACAAGTTATCCCCGTCCTTACTGGAGATGAAAAAAATGGTAGCCTTGGACACAACTCCAGGGCAAGCTGTCTTGTGTGAGGAACTTCTTATTGTTAACAATATTAATAAATTGTTAATGTTAAAATAAGAAGAAAATAATAGGTCTGTGTAAGGGAATGCTGCATTTTTTAAAAGTGTTATCGTCATATATTCCTTACCTATGCGGTGTAGGTATGCACATATTACCTATGCTTCTTGTTCTATCACTTTTAAAATGGAAGACAAGAGCTGTAATATTTGTTTCTATGGCATCTCTCTGCCTTCCCTTCAGGAGCTGTGTTACTGTGGTCAGCTACAGCTGTCACTCCTAGTCAGCTAGCCTGGAGAGTAAGTTCCCTTCTACAGAAATATGTGTGATCAAAATATAACCTTTCAATACAGTTATCTCTGTTTCTGATGTTTCTTTTTAAAATGGTGTTTCTGTGTACTAGGCTTGCTTTGGTCTTCCAACTGTCGGCTAATTTCTTTGTGTTTTTTTTTTTTTTTTTTTTTTTTTCTGGGTTGGCATCTGTTATGGTCTGTACAGGGTTAGACCTGTGAAAAAACACTAGGATGTTTGTGGTATTGTGGGACAGCATAGTGTTCTCAAATGCAGTCTCAGGTTAAAGAGTGATTAACCCAGGGATGGGTGTTTCTCCTTCGCTGTGCAGCTTAAGACATCCTCGGGCAGTATTTCTTTAAGAACAGAAATAATTCATACAAACATGATGCAAAATGTCTGCAGAAGCCCCTTAACAACCGGTTAACTTCCTGGTTTAGCAACTTTAGTGCCTAAAATGTTTTTTCGGTACTTGATTGCTAGGGTATGAGACAATTTTTGAGGACAAAATTCAGTTGTTCCAGTCACTCTAAGTCAAAATAAGTAAAACCTGCTGTAGACTAACAGAAGTGACTTTTAGTTTGTTTAATGTACTTTTAGAATACTCTGGTTCACAAGTGTGGCTACAAAAATGTGCTCAGCTGTTTTTGCAGGAGATGGTGTCACACTGTGTTTTGCAAGCGTGGGGCTTCCCTCTGTTTTGCAGGCAACTCTGAGAGAAGTGAAGCAAGGATTAACAATGCAGATGTGTGTTTAGGGAGTAAAGGTGACAGACAGGGGAGCTACCAAAAAAGTCCCCATCTTTCCTGGGAAATCCCTGAGGAGGGGATTTCCCAGCTTGGCAAAGGCTGTGTTACATGGTAGGAAAAATCCAAAGGAATTTAACAGGGAAGAGAGAAAAGGCTTTTTAAAATAAGCCTGCCCTCTCTGTTCAGTAGAGGAGTGAATGACTGTGCTATGTGTGTGCCTGGGAGTGTAGCGTACCCCTGTTTTGGGTGGGGTGGTGGTTGCAGGCTCCCCAGACTG